AAAAAAAAAGTAATACATAAAATTAAAAAAAAATTGGGATTGTTCCAATATCTATTTGGATGCTGGAGAGGACGTCCATTACTGAGACTTATTCTGGTCTCTTAATGATGAAAAGTGTATAGGGTTGGGCAGTTTATATTTAAAATTGGCTTTCAAACAGAAGTAGTTTGAATCTTTTCTGTAGAACAGAAAGTTCTGACTTTCTTATTTCTTTTGGTAACAGGTTGATCACTTGGCAAATATTATAGCTAAAAGGTCGCTTGAAAAATTCAGTTTTAAAACTAGGTGGGAGAAAGCTGTGATAGAGTTGAGTGTCATCAGCATAAAGGTGAAATTTACAGTGTTCTAGACTACGCAACATGTTTGATGAATAAATTGTAAACAATAGTGGACCCAATATTGAACCCTGTGGCACACCTTACTTGAGTTTTAGATGGTTTGAATAGATTCCACCCTGGCACACTTTTTGTTCCCTGTTTTTGATGTAACATTCAAGAAGTCTGATAGCACTACCTGTTAATCCCATATAGTTTAAAATGGCGAGAAGTAGATCATAGTTTAGAGTGTCAAAAGTTCGACTAAAATCAATAAGCACAAGTACAGAACAAAGACCCTCATCTGTAGCCCTAATAATGTCGTCCACGATGTGCAGCAGAGCACTGGCGCAGCTATAACCTTTGCGAAACCCAGATTGTACTTCCGGAAGTAGAGAAAACCGAGAGAGATGATTTCTCAGCTGCTCTTCAACTGCTCGTTCAAAAATTTTTGATAAAGTGGGTAAGACACTAATTGCACGCAGATCCTTATATTCGGTTGGATTAGTTTTTTTGGGCAATACTCTCACCACTGCTCTTCCCCACATCGCTGGAAATACACTATGGGTTAAACAAAAATTCACTATATGGGTGATATATTGCACAATATGGGGACAACACATTTTAATTAATTTAATGTTTATATCATCACAACCTTTAGCATTCGATTTTATGTTACATATAATTTTATTTACGGATAATTCATTTATTTCCTGGAAAGCAAAATTCGGTTCTACTCGNCCTCTGAATCCATAGCAATATAATTTTTTGAGCAGTACTCTGTGATTAACACAGTCGAATGCTTTTGAAAAATCGCAGAATACTGCTCCAATAGCTCTTCCATCGTTTTGGCCAACATATAGTTCATATAAAAAGTTGAAAAATGCATCACTTGTGCGTTTAAAAGTTTGAAAACCGAATTGTACTGTAGATAATTGACAGTTCAGACTGTCGATAGTTTGAATTGTCGATTATATATAATTGATACTTGATGTGTAAGGACGATAATTTTTCATTAAAAATTTCAAAATAGTCGATGATGCATTTCATTCATTCTTTAAATTTTTTCAAAAATTTTTCTTTGTCTAACTTGAAGCATCTTTTATTCAAGAATGTATTCTTTTCTTTTCAGGTAAAATCGAAATTGAGATAAAAATCAACCACGAGGGGGAAGTGAACAGAGCAAGATACATGCCTCAAAATCCTTGTGTTATTGCCACAAAGACCCCATCTAGTGATGTATTGGTATTTGATTACACGAAACACCCTAGTAAACCTGATCCAAGTGGAGAATGCCACCCCGACCTCCGTTTACGTGGTCACCAGAAGGAAGGATATGGTCTCTCTTGGAATCCCAATTTGAATGGATATCTTTTGTCCGCCAGTGATGACCATACAATTTGCTTGTGGGATATCAATGCTACACCTAAGGAACACCGAGTTATTGATGCAAAGACCGTGTTCACGGGACATACTGCCGTCGTGGAAGACGTAGCCTGGCACCTTCTACACGAAAGTCTCTTTGGATCGGTAGCTGATGACCAGAAACTCATGATTTGGGATACCCGTTGCAATAACACCAGCAAACCGTCACACACCGTCGATGCACACACTGCTGAAGTCAATTGTCTCAGTTTCAATCCCTATTCCGAATTCATCCTTGCTACTGGAAGCGCTGATAAGACAGTAGCTTTGTGGGACCTCAGGAATTTGAAGCTGAAGTTGCATAGTTTCGAGTCGCACAAGGACGAAATATTCCAAGTTCAATGGTCTCCCCATAACGAAACCATCCTAGCATCGTCTGGTACTGACAGGCGGTTGCATGTTTGGGATTTGAGCAAGATCGGGGAAGAACAGAGCGCCGAGGATGCGGAAGATGGTCCTCCCGAACTTCTCTTCATTCACGGAGGACATACAGCCAAAATATCAGACTTCAGTTGGAATCCCAACGAGCCCTGGGTTATTTGCTCCGTATCGGAAGATAATATTATGCAAGTGTGGCAGATGGCAGAGAATATTTACAATGATGAAGAACCTGAACAACAAGCTTCAGATATCGAAGCCACTGCAAGTTGAAATGTTATTTGGCATTGATTTTTTTTGATTAGGTACCTATTTTATTCAGTTCATTGTTGTAGGAGTCATTTTCTTATTGATCTTAGTTATAAGTTTATAATAAATCTGTTTGTAATTTGTCCTGCGTTTTGTTACTAATATTGTGGATCCGTGATGGATATGGCCGATACAAATTACTCTTCCATCCAATCAGCAACAGCTAACTCATATTAATGCAAAATATTTTGCAGTTAAACTTGAAGAAAACAGAGGGAGAAAAGAAAGAAAAGCAGGAAAGACGAAGAAAAAAACAAATATACCAATGAAAATTTTATCCCTTACATGTAAAAAGTCATGTTCTAAACACAATGGAAATTTAATATAATAATATAACGATGATTTTGGTATTTTCTACATATTTATGGTAAATGAATGTTAGTATTGGTAAAAACTGATCAATATTATGAAAGAAGCGAACCGGATTGAAACATACAGTGCATTTCTTCAATGTCTCCCCTCCCTTTTATAATTATCAAAAAGGTCAGATTACCAAAGATTTGCTCTATTTAATTGAATTTGCAGTGTATAAGTTTGGAAACCTAGTTAACGATGAATTTTTATGTGATATTTGACTTTTGCGATAACGTCAGAACAACTCCAGTTGGATCTGAAACAAAAGCTCATCTCCGTATCTACCAGTATATATACATCTTAAACTGGATGGAGGATGAATATGAATACGTGGTGAACAACGATTTTCCCAAAGAAGAAGGTTAAGTATTCTTATTGTATCACACAGGAACAGACGATCTCTCTCTCTCACACAAAAATAGGTTTCCATGGAAACCAGTATATAATCCATCTCTCTCATTTCCTTAAAATGACATTTAGCAAAATGAAAAATCAGAGGCGTTCTAGTAAAAGGGGTTTCATTACGAATATAAATATTGAAAATATCAAAAATCAAATTGAAATATACAATAATAATTCAGAATAAATATTCTTAGTGATAAAGATATATTACATCAACAATCTTGGAATACCTTGTTCGACCTATTTATTTTGAAGAAATTCATATTCAATAGACAATAAAGAAAACAGCTTTTGTCTGAAGTAATAACTGTTATTTGAATAAGTTCTAACAAACCGAAACCGCTCCGTACAAATGAAAATCTCAGTAGAAATCAGAAAAAAGCTATTTTCTTAATCCTATATTCAATTTCGAAATAGATACATGAATAATATAATCTACCAATCCAATTGATGGGAATTTTTTGGTCTCTTTGTTGAATATATTAAAGAAAGAAAGAGGAAAGTCGTCAAAATTATTATCATTGCTTTTCATTTATCAATAGTTATTTTGAAGAGGAGATTATGGTTTCATGGTCTTTAGTGATTTTTCGCTTGACATTGCACTTAATGTATATTTCATTCATCCAATAATTTTCATATCAGGACACAATTTGTTTTTTTCAAATTGCGTTATTACATTTTCAGAATCCATACTAATTCTTCATTTGTCTCATTTTTCTATATAACTCATTTTTTGAATAACTCATCCGAATTTTTCGGTTCCTGATGTTGATTTTTCATTTATTTTCATTTTATTTTCCTGCTGATAGATTCGCGAACAAAATAAAACATACTTTCAACACAAATATCTTACAAAGTTAAATATAATATTTCTAACTATATATATATTTCAACCTCTAACGGAAGCAAGAAACTCTTTGGAAGGTTCGAAATAGATGAACATTTCAACCTAGCAGACCACTATTATAATATTCATGCAGTCATTGTTCACTGTGGTTCTGGCGTTGAATTTGGTCATTATTACGCCTTGGTCAAAGAAGAAACGGACTGGTTTAAGTTTGACGATAGTCGTGTCACG